GCAGCAGCAGCAGCAGCAGCAGCACGACGAGCAGCAACAGAAGAAGTAGTAGAAGTTGCCCTTACTGTTGTTGCTATTGTCGCTGCTGTTCTTGCTGTACATAACTGATATTGTATTTGGATTCGTAGTAGTAGAACAAGTAGCAGAGAAGCAGAAGTAGAACTAGAAATAGAAGTTTAAGTTAATTAGAAGTAGGAGCATCGGAAACGATTGCAGCTACTGCTAGCATGTCGGCTGCTGCTACAGGCACAGAGACCGTGAATTGCACGACAAAAACGCATCGTCCCTAGCACCGCAGCAGTAGCGGGGGATGTATTACAACGAAGGCTACCGGAGCTCCCGCTGTTGCGCGTTCCACTGCCTCAATCACGTTTGTGTCATTCAAGGAACGCTGTCTTAAAGACAGTTTTTCGGTGTCAGTGGTTTCTGAGTTTGGCACGTTGGAACAGTGTAGACAATTCTGCTCCCAATCACACCTGCGCCTATCATCGCCTCTCGATATTGCGACTCTTCTTACCATGCTACCCGTTCAACGTCTGCGAATATTAATCCGAGTCGTATTGCTGCCGAGGAGATTGACAAGTATTGAGGGAAACCCAGCCTGGCAAACTTTGTAGCTGTTGAAACCAGGAAGACACTGCTGCGCCGGAACGTTGTCGAACATGGAGTTGAACTTTGCCCTGGCGATGTTCACATGTAATCAAGTTTCAGGCTTGGGTTGAAGGCGTGTCTTGCTGCAAAGGCGTCATGTTGGTCTTCCTCTGGCTTTGTTGAGCCATCCTACCATCCGATATAACATCACCCAACTTTTAAACTGGAGCCCGTGTTCGACTACCTGGATTTGACAGCAAGCTCATGAGCTCTTTGCCTGAACTGCGCGGTGCGGAAGTTGATAAAGCAGTAACCTGGCCATGGGATCGGGGCCCAGATGTTGTGCATGGTGGTCAAGGCTTGGCGACGGGGAGGCACAGCAACGCGCATCGTGCAATCAGAAGGGCTGACTCCGGGCTTGGGATTTAGGACCCCCAGTGTGTGTCCGTTGTGCAAAAAGTCCGGAGGCCAAATGGGCAAAGGCATGCACACGCTGACAGGAAGCCGAAGGGAATCTGTTAGTACCAGATTTTTTCCGCATTGCTATGGTTCTGGTTGTCGTCCCACTGGAACAATGGGCCTCGTCCCACTGAACAACCCGCCTCTGGAATGATTCAAATACTGCTAGTTGCCACCGGCCTTCTTACAACTAGGCCCTTCACTAAGCAGAACTTTCACAAGAAGCCAGTAGCAGTCTAGGGACCCACGTTGCACCGATTCGCAAAATCGATTGGCAAGTACCTGCAACAGCTGTGGCTTTCGGATCGCGAGAGTTCTACGCCCCCATGTTGCATATTGCTAGTTGCAATGTGGCTACAAATAGTCAAAACTTGAGGTCGTGTACTATCCAAAGATGCTCTGAATTTGTGACCTAACCTCGAAAATTGTGCTTGGCGAGGGCTCAAGGTACAAAGTTCGGCCCATCAAAGAAGTACTTTCAGCAGCAGTAGTGGTAGTAGTTGCAGTAACAGTAGAAGCAGTAGTAGTAGTAGTAGTAATAGTAATAGTAATAGTAATAGTAATAGTAATAGTAATAGTAGTAGTAGTAGTAGTAGCAGTAGTGGTAGGTAGTACTAGTACTCGTACTAATACTA